AAAAAAAAAAAGCAAGGTGTAAATCAGTATGCTCTTTGTTACTATTTGGGTAAAAGGACTTAAAAAACTGAAATAAATAAATAAATAAATATACACACATATATATATTTACGTGTGTGTGTGTATCTCTTTAGCAGGATGTAAAAATAATACTATGGGTTTCCTGTGAGAAAAGGAACTGCATATCAAGGAAACAGAGGCGGGAATTTTTTTTCCCCCCAGTGTATATTCCTTTACTTTTTTTGAAATTTGAACCATGTAAATATTTCTTCTTCAAAATATAAAGTTAAAAAATATACCTACCTTAAAAAACGTTCATATAAATGACCAGAAGCAACTGAAAAAATGTTTAGGACATCTTTTTCCTTTTTTTCTTCTTTATGCAACCTTATTGTGAAACTTGGAATAAAAAAGTAATTGACATTTCTTAAACATACATATGGAAACATTGTATGCCTAAATACTAAATATAAGCAATAAATATAGAAATGTATTTCAAAATAGTTAAGCTATAAACACTATAATATTTACAAACTAATATTAAAATATTTGACAATATCATTTGAAGCTTTATGAGCTTTTTTTTAAATTTGCAATATGGAATATAATTATATTGTCTCTAGGTGAATGGGCTGTTATTTTTTAATTTCTGTGAGTTGCCAAAGGTTGTTTTCGGAACAAAGAATGAATTACAGCTTGACATGGCCATATCTAGTGTACTGAAACCTTAAACAGGCCAATAATGAGGGAAGGAACAGAATACGGAAGTGTGGAACTATAGCACAGCAAGAATGTATGTGGTAACAGGGTAGGTGTCTGAGTGCTGCTGATGGGGCTCACCAACGCTAAAATATTTTTAAACCACCATCTACAATTTGGAGCTCCTCTGACCAAGCAGATTTTCTCCTCCACGCAGGGTATGGAATACCCTCTTGGTACTGTGGATGATTTCCATGACAAAGAAAGCACTAGGGAGCCATGTCTACTCCCTAGTTTATATCATGGTAGCGTCATCTGGGCCCAGTTGTCATTTTCATTACATTTTTGGAGTTAGACCACCTCCATTTCATTTTTGTATAGGCCCATTTCATATACAAAAATGACTGAATCTTTTATTTACAGTATTCATAAAGTACAAATTCATCTTTTTCTTCCTAAACATTTTGAAGTATTTTTATATAAACAGATATTTAGAATGAATAAAATTTGGTAAACTTACAGTCATCATTAAAGGTATTTTGCAAAATATAGATTGTTATAGACAGAAGCATTTTTCAAATCTTGTAATCTCCCAAATAAGAAAAGAAGTTGATTCAGTGGCAAGAAAAAATAATCATTCTAAGTTAGAACTAAAAGTAAGACGAAAAAAGTCAAAGCATCATAAGACACACAATACTATGTATCTGGAGCAGTTAACGTCCCAAAAACTTACCATCTCTGTTTCTAACAAAGCATTTTGTTTTTTGTATCCTTTTTATATAGCAAGCGGCTATATTTCGTTTTTGGTATCCTTTTTATATAGCAAGTGGCTATACCATAATTAAACAGTTATCTTCAATCATTCTTATCTCTACCTTCTAATTTTAATGGAAGCTCTTAGATGGATACTCTTAAAATTGTTCAGATTCTATTCCATTATCCCCTGTCAAACATACCTACCCTCTAAATCATCTCAATGAGTGGCCTCGATCCTTTATCAGTAACTTGTTCAAAGCACACACTGTGATAGTAACATTATTTTTCTTACCAAACAAGGAGTCAACTATAGAAAAAGAGGCTTAAACTGGGCAAAATCCAAAATGATGGAAGTGTTTTTGACTAGTATAACCAAATATGTTTAAGTTGGTGAATCTATTTTGGCTAACATTTCTATTTCTTATCTTTGATCAAAATGATTAATGGTTTGCCATCATAGCTCACATAGGGTTCAAATCTCTAAAATGGACATTCAAAGTTCTTTACAACATGCATCTACAGGAGACAGCTTTTGTTTTTGCTCACCGAACACCTGTTCCCCTTCTAGTAACAACCTGGTATTTCAGGGGGAATCATTCCTCCTCCCATCTCATCCTATGAGGTTTAGGTGGGACAGGCCTTCCCACCAGTTCTAGAAGTAGGCGTATGACTCACGCTTGGTTATCAGAGTCACAGAAATCAGTTCAGTTTGGGACACATAGCTATAGTTGGACCCATGAATCAGCCTTGGAACTTTTACTGGAACTGTTTGGAAAGAGGCATTTTCCTTCCACTGGAAATAGTAAACTTTTAATTTTAAAAGTCTATCTTAAAATGGAGGAGACACAGAAAGAGTAGACCTAAGAGATGGAGAAAGACTGTATCCACACCACATCACCCAATGGCCAATGCCAGGTATACTCCTGGATTCTTTAGATATCTGTCGATATATTCCTTATGTAGGTTTGTTTTTCGAGACAGGGTCTCACTCTGTCACCTAGGCTGGAGTGCAGTGTTGCAATCTTGACTTAGTGCAGCTTTGACCTCCCAGACTCAAGCAATCCTCCCACCTCAGCCTTCTGAGTAACTGGAACTACAGATACATGCCACTGTGACTAGATAATTTTTAAACTTTTTGTAGACACAGGGTCTCACTATGTTGCCCAGGCTAGCCTTGAACTCCTGGGCTCAAGCAATCCTCCTGTCATCACCTCTCAAAGTGTTAGGATTATAGGTGTGAGTCACAACGCCTGGCCTGTGTTCCTTTTTAAACTAACAATAAAACAGTATAGGTATCAATCTAATATAAACAGTCCCTATTATTTTCAAGTTGCAGCTAGCTAGGCTACTTTCTTTTCTTTGAGGAACATATCCAATCTTTTTGCCTTCATGTAACCGCCTTCACTCAGTCTTTAACTTTTGAAATCCTGTCTTGTCCTTTAAAACAGATCTTTGCCACACACTTCGTCAAGGAGTATTTCCTGAGGTTCCTTGTAAGTGGATGTATAATTTTTCTCCATTGGTTTGTCCAGTATTTTATTTTCATCTGTCTTACAGCTCTAGTTTCCTATCTTGTACATAGTAGTAACATTTATGTATTTATCTTATCCCTCCTAGATTAGAGGACCTTTGCTTTACTTAAATTTTCACTGCCTGTGGAACTTCCACATACTAGACTTCTGGATCAATCTAGCGATGTGTTAAAATATTCATTAGTAATTACCTTTTAATGGAATCCCACATTCCTTTTGTTTTTTCATCTTCATCAGTAAGGATATCTTCCTTAATTTTGCCTGTTTCTTTTTTCACCTAGATAGCAAGGCAAAAAGATTAGAATTTGGCTGCTTTAATATCGTGCTGTATGGTTAGAAAGTGAAACATACTGGGCGAGATTACCCATAGAAATCTAAGATTGACAGTTGCAGTAACCAAAGACAGGCAATATCTTAGCACAACGTTGTAAACAATCTGGTCTTCAACTATCAATTCAACCTCTTTGTTCAGTTTCTTCGGTGGTTACTTCCATATTGCTAAATAATGTGCTTGCACTTGTGTTTACTAATTTATCAGCTTTAGGCATTATCTACTAGTATTTCTGAATTCAGAGTTTAGACATTATTTACTCTTTGTGATGACAGATGAATAGCTCACTTATTGTCATCCTTCCCTTTCCCTATTTGTCTGGAAATTTTGGTAGTAATATGTTTATCTTCAGTTCTTCTACTGAGTATTTTTTGTCATTTTAAATAGTATCTAAATCTCTTTTTTTATTCCCACAATCCCAACAGTTTCTCGGGTATAATCTGTTTATAAGGACACTACTATTTCTATGATTTCCTTCTACCTCCCAACTTATATTAGTTAAACCTTGACTTTAGCATTTGTAAATACTGATAACATTTACATTTAGTTCAGTAAACATAACTGTGTCTGTTGCATTTTGCTATGGTGATTCTAAAACTTGAAAATCAGTAAAAAGTGTTCATTATGACAGTGTAAAAATTAACCATTGAAGAGTCGGAAAATCTACTAAAACTCTATTTCCTCTGTGCAGTTATGGTTTTAGTATAGTACAGCATAGTTATAGTTTCCTCCTATGGTCACCATGCCACTCCCAGGAGACTCTTGCTGGTTCAGATTAATTTTCCTTTCTTACATTCCACCAGCAGAGAACTATTTTTTCCTGGAATTTCATGGTCCTTACTTTTTCTTGTGGGGAGATATACAAATATGTCTTCTTTATCACAGACATAATCTTTTCCAGTTTATTACTCATGTTATCTAATTGTCTGGAATTCTTGTCTACCTGAAGACACTTTTCTTAAAGTTCAACAATTAACTGTTTCTTTCTAGATTTTCTTTACATTGGTTTACAGATTAGTTTCACCATTTCTTGAACGACTGATCTTCTTTCTTGATCTTGATTTTCATCTTCATTGTACTGCCAAATGTCTCCAAGAAGGTGTATGAAAAATAATTTTTCTAAATCTTCATACTTCAGAAACTAACTTTTTACCTTCACATTTGATTAAGAATTTGGCTAGATACACAATCTTGGGTTCGAAATAATTTTCCTCAAAACACTGAAAGATTTTGCTGTCTTTTAACAGCTAAGTATTTTGAAAATGAAATTTTGATACTAGTGCTGTCATTCTATTGCAGTTACGCACTTTTCCTTCTTAGTAGCTATTATAATCTTGTATGGGCCATTTTCATTCATCCTACTTCATAATTTGTGGACTCTTTTGACATGAACATTTTTCTCTCTCAGCTTTAGGACACTTTCCCTCCTCCATCTTCTCTGTTGTTTCTAGAATTCCTCTTAGCAGGCTATTGGATTTCATGGGCTGATCCTCTATGTTGCTTATCTTTTCTCCTGTTTTTCTATCTTTTTACTGTAATTCTGAGAAACAGATGGTTAGGCGATAAAACTGTGTTATTAGAAAACAAACTGAAGGTGGTCGGGCGTGGTAGCTCATGCCTGTAATCCCAGCACTCTGGGAGGCTGAGGTGGGTGGATCACTCGAGGTCAAGAGTTTAAGACCAGCCTGGCCAACATAGTGAAACCCCACCTCTACTAAAAATACAAAAAATACACGCAAACACAAAAATTAGCCAGGCGTGGTAGCACATGCCTGTGGTCCCAGTTACTCAGGAGGCTGAGGCAGGAGGATCACTTGACCTTGGGAGATGGAGGCTGCAGTAAGCCAATATCGGGCCACTGCACTCCAGGGTGAGCAACAGAGTGAGACTCTGTCTCAACACAAAAACAAAAACAAAAACAAACTACTAAAAGACCTAGGTATGGGTAGGTTGTAGAATATTTGTAATTGGTATCTTTCATCAATTCATAAAAATTCTTAGTCATTATTGCTTCAAATGTTACTTGTACTCCATTCTTTAATTATCTTTGAAATTCCATTTAGGTTAATTTTATTTATCCAACAAATATTCATAAAGTGCTTTATCTTATCTTCATAACCGTCCTGTAAGGTATATTCCATTGTCAACCCTATTTTACAGATGAGGAAATAAGACAGAAAGAGATTAAGTAATCCGTCCAAGGTCACATAGCTAGTGAGTGGCAGAGCCAGTTTTAAATCCACTACTGGTAATCTTAGACTTTCACACTAGCATATGTGTGTGTGTGTGTGTGTGTGTGTGTGTGAATGCTCTCTACTATATTTTCTTTTTTTCCTGTCTCTGTTGCATTCGGTATACTTTTTCTGGCCTATCTCCCAACTTGCTAATTTTCTCTTAAGGCATGTTAAAGCTATCTACTGAATTATTAATTTTGGTATTGTATTACTCAGTTTCCAAAGTTCTACTTTAAAAAAATCTGATATACATGTTTTATAGTTTCACGTTCCCTGCAATTATTTTCAAACTCATCTTTAATTTCTTTAAAAAAAGTACAGTTGTTTCAGAGGTTATTCTAATAATTCTAATATCTTGAGTCTTTGTGTATCGGTTTTCTGTTTCTGCTGGTTTTGTTGGTTGGTTAACTTTGACTATGAGTTGGCCTTTATACCAGAAAAATTTGATTTGCAGCTTAGGCTATTGTAATCTTATTCCATAGATTTATGGATGTCTCTTCTAGACACCTCTATATCCTATCAATCTGGAAAGATTTTAGTACCAATTCAAGGTTCAGGATTCCCTGGCCTACTTAGCTGACACAAATTTGGGCGAAAAGAATATGAGGAATAATTTTTTATGTTTCATCCTTAGCCTGAAAATAGAGCTAGTTTATTGTAGAGACGGTCTTCTAATAGATTATTTTATTTGGGTTTCTGGGTTTTAATTTTTGTTCCCTAACCCATCAAAATAAATAAAAATGGTAGTTTAAAGTGTGACAGGACAGAAAAATGTTCCCAGGACAACAGTAGCTTCCTTGGGTCAAGAGAAGTTTCTGTGCTTGCTTATTTCACTAGACTCTTATTTTCCCTTTAATTTTGGTTTTGTGTTTCCTTATTATCCTTATTATCTGATTATCAGTTCCTCATTGTTTTTAAGATTTTTAAAAACTTGTATCTAATATTTTCACTAGTTTTAAGCAGGAGGGTTGGTCCAAAAAAAAATCTGCTATCATTAAAAACTCCCTTTCTCTCCCTCTTTAAAAAACATCACCTTCTCTTTTTAGAACTAATTTTTCAGTGCATGTTCCTGATCTCATCTCTAGAGTCCAATTTGTAACATTATTTGGCTACAGATAGATTTAGTAGATATATTCACAGTTATCATAATGTAAAAAAAAATCCTTCTCTTCTATCTTCAAGTTCTGTTTTCCTTTGTGAACTAAATCCTCTTCTTTTTTTTACTGCTGGAGTTCAAATATAACATTTTAGGTTGTAAAATTGTAAAGTTAGTTGTAAAATAAATCAATTAATTAAAAAACAAAGAAGATAATTCTTAATATTAAGAACAAAGCCTATAAAAACCTCTGCCCCACATACTTTTACTTCCAGTATCTTGCTTTTGAAGCTGTTTAATACAACAATGATATCTTCTAGGTCTGCTTGAGAGTCAGTTCCTTCATGCCTAAAAGTAGAAAAATGTGTCCATAATTAATTTAAGGACATACAATTATGATGTCAGAAATAACAGAATAAACTCATTTTGCAATAAACATAAGTCCAAAATCACTAGTGCATATATCATGTTCTTCTGTTTCTATAGTCAATTAAGATATACTATAATATGCTGTAGTTTTCAAAATTATCCAATAAATTTTAACTTAGTACACATTAAAATTGTACAAAAGTAACTCATTAAATTCAACACTACCCAATCACTCTGAACGTTCAAATTACGGCTTATCTTTGCTGTTATATACCAAGACTATCACAAAACTAAAATCTTCCATATCCCTGATATATTGCAATGATAATTACAATTTTTTACACTTCAAAGTTGTTTATATATCAACGGAGTTCTACACTATCTAACTTTTTAATATCCATCAGTCATTTTCAAATGCCAAAATTTGAAATACATTGTTAAACTAATGAGACTGAAAATGTGTCTATGATGTCCATCTGCATCACTTGAATGTTTCCATTTTGTATTACATATAATGCAGTTTTTTCTCCCTTTTTCAAAATTGCTTAAACAAATACGGCAATTGTGCTCCAAAATTATTTTTTCAAACCATTCTCACTATAGTATGGACTAAAAAATTCTATCATATTTACAATAAAGTTGAATTTTGTTGAAGGGGAAGTAATCAGATGTCAAATCAGTAGCTACTTTTGAGTTGTTATATATAATATATACTTTTAGTATTTTTCCAAAATGAACACCTGGGGAGTCTAGCACTATCATGACTGACATGTCTTTGACTTTCTCTTACTCCCAATTCCCGAGTTCAGGTGGTTAAACCAAAGTAACAGGCAGAACTCTGTCCAACAATCACTACTAGAAAACAGAAAGAAGCTAGGTGTGATGGCTTATGCCTGTAATCCCAGCACTTTGGGAGGCTGGGGTGGGAGAATCACTTGAGTCCAGGAGTTTGAGACCAGCCTGGGCAACACAGTAAGACCTCGTTTCTGCAAAAATTTTTTAAAAATTAGCTGTGTAGTGGCCACTGGGTGTGGTGGCCAGTGCCTGTGGTGGCCAGCTAGTTAGGAGGCTGAAGTAGGACGATTGCTTGAGATTGGCAGATTGAGGCTCCAGTGAACTGTGAGCCGTGATTGTGCTATTGCACTTCTGTCTGGGCAAGAGAGACCCTGCCGCAAAAAAAAAAAAAAAAAAAAGGATCTCACTTGTATTGTAGAAATATTGTCAAATTTCTTAAAAACTTTCAGCTGCTTACAGTCACAAACACTGCTCAAGGGCAGTGGCAACTTTAGACATTTAATCCCCTGTCCACTGAGACCCAGAGTATAAAGCCAGCTAGCATAGCACTACAGCTAGACCTAGACAAATTCTAAAGCAGATCTTTTTCCATTTCCATCAGGTAGCAGAGGTAGTAATGGTGATGAGTTCTCATTTTATTTCAGGCACTGTTTTAAGCACTTCATAGATGCTCACTCGCTTAATCCACACAACCATCCTTTGAGGAAAGTACAATTATTATCCTAGATCCAAATTAGTTTAGATAGTCTAGCCCTTCACCACTGTACTATCAGACCTTTACCTACAATGCCAAGCACTTGAAACCTCTGGATACATGAGGAAAATGAGCAGCGTAAATGAAGGCAACAAGCTAAGCAGTCAGAGGAAATAGACTTCATTGATAAGGCATTAATGCAGAAAAAAGGGAAGCATTCAAATAATTCATATTCTCAATGAGATTCAAGAGAATACTGAATCTCAGTAAAATCCATTTACTTCAAAATGAAAGAATTCACTATGTGTCAGAAAGCATGATTAATAAAAAAGAGCACTCATACATATGCCTCCTGAAATTCTAAAAATCATTTATATTTTCAGAGAAGAAATGTAAATCAGATTGGCCTCATATTTTTCATCCAAAACACTAACTGGTAAGAAACAATGATGAAGCCTTGTTTCAAGCATTCTGAATAAAATTATAATGCTGTTATTCAATACTTAGGAAAGTTATAATTCATATGGAACTGCAAAAGAAATTTTTAAACCTTTGAGGACTACCTCAAAGTTTTAAACATTTGAGGGTACACTACTAATGTCTCTGAAAAAACTTATTTGTGGAAAGGTGTTGTATATTATGATATGGCAGGCAACATGTCATCTTTTACACTGCAGGAGTTAGAAAGCTACACCCATTTTTGTTTGTTGTTGTTACTCAACTCTTTTGCAGCTAAGGTTTTGGTTGATAATTAGATTCTGCTAAACAGATAGATACATTTGCATATTATTTGGAACTTAGAAGTGAGTGGGGCAATGTGCTGACGCTTGCCTAGCTTCTTTTGTCAAGCATAGTCATGGAGACATTGAGGTTTTCTACATCAGTGTTCCAGTGTGTAATTGCTTAGTTTTCTGGGTACCAAAGGCCAGTTGATGTGTTGCTGGCAGCAGCTTCTAACTTTCTCTCACTTCTGATGATGGGAAAGTAGCAGCTCTTTCTGGTTGGTCAGTTCCTTGGCTTTGTTCTCAAGCATTCCTAGGATCCAGCCCTCCTGGAGAGCTTGCTCCACCAATCCTTTCTAACACAATGTAAAAGCATCCGATTGCTTGCGTTAAATACTTCTGTGATAATGTGAAGTCAGCCATCTGCTACGATTTGAATGTCCCTCCCCTCCAAAACTCATGTTGAAACTGTATTGCCACTGCGACAGTATTAAGAGGTGGGATCCTTAACAGGCAATTATAGGTGATGAGGCTCCACCTTCATTGGGTGGAAGTGGTGCTATCACAAAAGGCCAAGTTTGGCCCTCTCTTGCTCTCTCTTGTACTTCTGCCTTCTGCCATAGGGCAATGCAGCAAGAAGGCTTCTGCCAGATGCTGTCCCTCAATCTTTCCAACCTTCCAGAACTATGAACCAATAAATTTCTGTTCATTATAAATTGCCCAGTCACAGGTATTCTGTTACAGCAGCAAAAAATGGCCTAAGACACCATCTAAACATAAAATGAATGTGAAAATTAATAGACATATACAAACTGTGATCAATAGTGAATTCATTAAAATTTACATTTAACTAATGATAATATGATAGCAAAGAACTAAATAGAATATTGGGGGTAAGGGTAAAAGGATGCTAGAATGCTTCCACTGAAATACCAATGAGATAGCTACCAGACACCGAAGTGAGTATGCATAGTCATCCATTCTCAATACCCTCACAATATGCAGATTGCTCCTCAGAGAGATTAAGCATATACAAATGTTCAGAAAAGCGATTGTGTGAGATGAAGGCAGAAGAGTTTCCTTACAGAGAGCTGTTGCCAGATTGTGAGTCTCCACCACTACACCCTGTGAGGATGGAAGGGGAAGAGTATTGCCTTCTCATTCTAAACTCAGTAAGGTAGACACTTTAAGGAGAAAACACTTTGCAATACATATTCTGAAGCTGGGATGCAGAGAGGACTCATGTGTGGGAAAGTTAAAAGTGTACCATGGAGCAGGACTGGATATTTGAGGACTGATTAATTGCTTTAATTGAGAAGTCAGGAGAGTGCTTATTGCCTCTGCAACTGGTCTGAACTAGAGTTTGTTGGGCAACTGATGTGTAAGTATTTCTACAGATCAGATGCAGCCAAGAAGGAGAGCGATTTGGTTTGTTGTTACGATTGGGTAGTCATGTGTCCTGCCAAGATGGCAAACAGGAGGTACGAGGAGACCACACCAACAGAACCAGGAAACTAGAGAGTGAAGTACAGCAATAGAGAACTTTTAACAGTCCACAGAGAGTGAGTTTTAACTACTACAGAACCAGCAAAGTTACGGTGGACCAACTCAAGTACCTGCAGAGAAAGAACGGAAAGCCTTGTTTAACATCTCTCTCCTTCCTCCTGTATAAAACATAGGAGAAACAGTTCAGTCTCAAAGGTACCAAACTAAAATTAATTACAAGTATTACTTTGGCAGAAAAGATTTTTCTAAAGATTTCAAGTGAGAAGTCTAGCACAGTAATTTGGCATTGAAGGTGCATAAAGTATTGTCTACAATTAGAAAAATCTGAGCAGCATTTGTCTAATTTTGGTAGAACTACAAAGAAATAAAGGAGAATAATTTTGAGACTTTTTGTATTCAAGGTAAGTAACAGCCAATACTGAGTATACACAAATAATCTGCAGTTAAAGACTATAAAAAGATTGACAGACACAGAAAGAACACACTGTGGGCATTATGCCTCAGAAGTGGAAAGCCAAATTTAAAAATATCAAATAATTTAGTCATAGCTTTAAAATCTGAACTTAGAAACTCATATTAATATTATTTTAGCTTAGATTTTTAGCAGGTTTCAGGAATATTTTTCCTAATTTTAAAGTTAATATCAATTAGAATTAAAACATAAACCTTAGGATAAACAACATCAGTTTTCGTCATATTTTATATTGACCTCGTTAGACTTTTTATTATACAGTAACATGTATTTTTTTTCTATTTTGGATAGCTAGTAACATTAATTGTATGTAGAATTAAATTATGACTAAGTATATGGTTTTATTGTTTATAAGTAATACAAACAAATTTGTTAGTTATTTCTACTGCCAAAAGTTGTCTGTGAATGAGAAAAAACAATTTTCACTAATATGTTAGTGGTACTTCAAATATAACATCAAGAACTATTTTCTCTCTAAAACATCTTTATGAACTGTGTATGATAAACAATAATAGTAAAGAAGATAAAATAGAAACTAAATCATGTATAGTTTTAGTTTTACATAATACATGTGCTATTGTATAACTGTATTTGTAAAGAAGGAATAAGTGGAGAGGAAATGGACATTTACTCAATATTCTATGATGATTTTCTCATTTAGTCCTTAGCAAAACCCCATAAGGGAGGTAGGATTATTCCCTTTTGTAACGAGGAAATAAAGACTACAAATAGCAAAGAAACTTATACAAGATCATACAGATAGTTGGTGGTACAGAAGGGATTTGACTTACAATTCAAATAAAGGGTTTCTCCCTTTGCAAAACATAATGGTGAAACAGTAGTGGCAGATATAGAAACACTGAGTTCCTGGCAATGTAGTTTGCACAAAATTTAAAAAGCTGAAACAAAGCATGAATGCTTCTTAAAATTATATCTTGAAACCATGGCTTTTATAAGGGTCAATATAAATGTTACAGTCTATTTTACTCATTTTCTATACTACCATAGCACTCTTTCATAGCACTTAGAATATATAATAGTCACTCATTTTCTTGACTATCTTTTCTACTGGAATGAGTTTTGGGAGGGTAGGAACTGTGTATCTGTAATGGGAATGACACACCAAGGTAGCATGGGTTGCTGCCTAGGCATTAGAATATCATACCCAAATGGGTCTAGCTGGTAGCCAAAGATAAGAACTTAGAGGCACCCTTCCTGCCTCGCAAACTGGGCTTCTGTTGTCCTGCCTTCCCTTCAAACAGACCAAAAGTGACCCGTGCTCTATTCCCTTATATATACTGTTAGTTGTGTGCATGCTCTCTTTCTCTCTGCCTGACTCCTCTTCATTCTTGCCTCATGTGACCTAGAAATGGGGCCCTTCCTGCCCAAGATTTATAAGTAATAAATCTTTGAACTTATTTCTTATTGTGGTGGTGTATTAAGTTTGCATCACCCATCGGAAGAGCCAGGGACTATCCCGGACCGGGTTTTCTTGGAGATGCTGGGAAAAACACAAGGTTGGGTTCTAAGTGTCACCATGATGGTCAGGCAAGCATAAACTGGACATGGGTCAGACAAGAGCCACACAGGCCTCTGTCAGTACCAACAAGTTTCCTGTGTGAGGGAGCCTGGGTCTGGGGTCAGACAACTATGAATTAGACCATCCACCAGGTAAATGAAGTGTCCCATGAAAGGCACACAGTAAACACTCACATCCAGCTGCCTTTCATTCCTCATTAGGGCAAGGTCACCAGCCACTCCAGTACTGGAACTCAATTTGGCTGGGGGTTCTCCAAACAGCATTGTTCAACTGCTGTCTCCAATACTCCCCCTTATTTTTGCCTGCTTATTCCACCTCACCAAGTGATTTCTGTCACTATAGTTTGTATTATCTAGTGTTTTATAACTTATAAAAGGAGACATGCAGTAGTACAGTAACCCCCATTTATTCACAGGGGATAGATTCGAAGACACCTAGGGGATGTATGAAACCATGGATAGTAGCAAACCCTAAATGTATGTTTTTCCTATACACATATGTCTATAATGTTTAATTTATAAATTAGGCAAAATACTCTTGCCCTTTGTGGTCATTAAGTAAAACAAGGGTTACCTGAATACAAGCACTGTGATCCCATGACAGTTGATCTCATAACTGAGAATGCTATTAAGTGACTCATGGGCAGACACCTGACAAAGGAATGATTTTCCAGGTGGAACAGAGCAGGATGGTGTGAGAGGTTATCACACTACTCAGCAGTGCATAATTTAAAACGTAGGGTTTATTCTGGAATTTCCCACTTAATATTTTCGGACTATGGTTAACCATGGGTGAGAGAAACCACAGAAAGCAAATTCTTCTTCTCCCCTCCTCTCCCCTTTCTCTCCATCCCCTTCCTTCTCCTCCTCCTTCTTCTTGAGACAGGGTCTCACTCTGTTGCCCAGTCTGGAGTGCAGTGGCATGATCATGGCTCACTGCAGTTGTCACCTCGTGGGCTCAACTGATCCTCCCATCTCAGCCTTCCAAGTAACTAGGACTACAAGTGTGTGCTACTGTGCCTGACTACTTTTTTTATTTTATGTAGAGGTAGGTTTTGTTATGTTGCCCAGATTGGTCTCAAACTCCTGGGCTCAAGCAGTCCTCCCACCTTGGCCTCCCAAAGTGCTAGGATTACAAGTGTGAACTACCATGCCTAGCCTAAGTGTAAATTTAAAGTTTCTAGGAACTGTCAAATTGTTCAAAAGTGGTTGTACCATTCTACATACCCAATGGAAGTGAAAAACAGCTCCTGTTACTCCATAGCCTCACCAACACTTGATATCATCATTCTTTTTATAAAGTTAGTCATTTTAATGGCATATCTTGTGGTTTTAATGTAGATTTTCTTAATAACAAACAATGTTAAATATATTCTGTACTTATCCATATATCTTCTTTGGTAGAGTGTCTGTTCAAGCCTTTTGCACATTTTTTGTTGGGTTATTTGTTCTCATAGTGAGTTCTGATAGTCTTTATATATTCTGTATATAAGTTCTTTGTCAGACATATGCTTTGCAAAGATTTTCTCCCAGTCTGTGGATTGTCTTTTCATTCTCTTTTTCAGTCATTTACATAAACCCTTTTAGTATGAATATTAACACATTCTGCAATAAAAATTATGCTTAATAAAGGGCTTTCTCAGATCCTGCTGGGATATATGTCATAATATATGACATGTGTACTGTATTAACTTTCCAAACTAAAAACTTCTAAATTCTAAAACACATATGGCCCTAAGAGTTTTAGATGAGAGATGTGCATGTCTACTCACCACCTGGAAGGTTCCATCTGTGGTATGACTAGTAACTTCCTATTAATTCTTCAAAACTCTAGATCATCTCTATCATCTCTAATGTCAATACTGACTTCCTCCTACCCACCACTACAATAGAACTAAGCATCCCTGGCTCCGTGTGCATAAGCCATTAAGCACATTTATTAACTGACACTATGAGCTAGGCACAGTATAAAAGGGAAAGAGTGGTGAAAAAAAGATACAGTAACCCCTACTCCTATATTATCTTTGTTGAGCACAATGTGTGGTATAATAAAAGATGCTCAATAAGTATTTATTGAAAGCAATGAAATCTAGAGATATTTATTAAGGGTATAAAAAAGACTTTATCAAGAGTTGGCAAACTATGGCCAGTAAACCAAATCAGGTTTATGGTGTATTTTTTTAATAGCCCTAAGCTAAAAATTATTTTTACACTTTAAAATGATTGTTAAAAAAACAATTTTGACAAAGACCATACGTGCTCTCAAATGAACATTACTTACTTACTTTGGCTCCTTACCAAAAAAGTGTGATGATCCCTGCTTTCTACTGATGAACAGGAAAATTTTTGTGCAAAAAACCAATTCCAAATTGAATATGACCCAAGGATAATGGTGTTGTTATATAAGATATAATGTATACTATATTGTCATTAAATGATCAATATATCAATTATGCTGGCAGAGGGAAAAGTCTAAGAGCCTGAATTTGTGGGTGCTGGCCTGGCATTGGGGCTGGGCAACAGCTTAGGGCTTCTGGGGTAGGCCTCGTGGTTGGGCAGGCTTGGAAACTGAACCTACCAGGCAGATTTGGAGCTTGGGGCTACAGGATCCGGCAGCTGAATCTTCTGGTACCAGCATTAAGTTGGGGCTATGGGGCCTACTTGGCTTTGGGTTTTATTGGGGTGGGCATGGTTTTGGGGTCCAGGACAAAGTCTGGTGCTCACTTCCCTCTCCTTCCCCCTAGTGGGTATCTCTCCAGTTGTGCTGAATCAGGTTGAGAAAGGAGTGATGTATGTAATGTAAAATTATCCTTTCTACACTGTTCAATGTGTCTTTCTTATTTCTGTGCTACACTGCACTGTTGTAATAGCTCACCTCGTTCCTTAGTTTTTATTAAGGTAGTTTCATGTGTGGAGTGCATAGTTGTTCAAATTGATGTTTCTGCATGGGTATGAGCACCGGAATGTCTTATTTTGCTCTCTTGCTGATATTCAGACCTAACCCTTTTTTTGTTGTTGTTGTTGAGACAGAGTCTTGCTCTCTGTCCCAGGTTGGAGTGCAGTGGTGCAGTCTCCGCTCACTGTAACCTCCGCCTCCCAGGTTCAAGTAATTCTTGGGCCTCAGTCTCCCAAATAGCTGAAGTTACAGGTGTATACCACCATGCCTCGCAAATTTTTGTATTTTTAGTAGAGACGGGGTTTTGCCATGTTGGTCAGGCAGGTCAACTCCTGGCCTCCAGTGATCTGCCTGCCTCGGCCTACCAAAGTGTTCGGATTATAGACTTGAGCCACTGCGTCAGGCCAATCTTAACATTTTAATTGTTGTTTTGATGATCTTGGTTGTATTACACTAAAAACATATTTATGTGTAAAAATTTAAAAGCAGTCCGCATAACTCACCCAATTATTTGATAAATATCTTCAGATTTTCCTTGGTGTAACCTCAGTATCCAAGCACCTGGGTTTGCTTTTAATTGAAAATACCCCTTTTAAGATGAGAAAAAAATAATCATTGAGTAATACGACTAAAAACCATCTAATTGTTCATGAATACACAAATGATCCAAGAAAGTATTTACTAACTGTAGAATGAATAAATTCTATAAATCAATTCCAAGTAAAGAGATTTTACAATAACCTGTTAAAAGAATATTACGAAAGTATGATTTTCCCCATTTTTGTTTATCTTATTCAAAGATTTAATTTTGTTTTCTGCAAACTGTTCAGCAACAGCAGAATAAATATTATTTCATTTTACTCTTAGGAAAACAGAGAATTTCACCAAAACATCAAATTAAATATCATCAATTAAATAATACTTACATGATTGGCCATCACTATTGTATCAACCACAACTGGTTTATTTTTTGTGCCTAGTGTGAACTGCAGACCCCGAGGAGGCTGTTCTGTCACTTTATCAAAGCAATGTCCTTCGAGGAGTAAGTATTCTAGTTCATATTCTGCTGTAACAGTTTTCTCAGTCTGTGGAGGAAGTATGTCATTGTTTTTGGTGTTAGTAAAACTCATAAAACAAAATTTTGAAAAAAAATAAATGTGATTATTTTAATACTGGCCAATGTATTTTGGTGGGTAACTTCAAGTCTGTCTTTTACACATCAGTGAATTTATGAATTGAATTGATTTCTTCAAGACAAAAAGCTTATGATAAACTTTTTCTTTTTCATGACATTAGCTTTACCGGAACCTCATGATATATGCACCAGTATAACCAAGCAGGAAAGACATGAACATTAGATTTAGATGGGAAATTCCTTAAAGAATCTGCTTCAGTTTGCTATTGTCCTGAAGCTACCACTTCAGACTTAGCAAGAAAGCTAACTTACTATCTATCGGCTTTCCTGTAATTAAAAAAATGTCTATAATCAACTAATTATAAATTGATCAATATAATTCATTTTTAAAGTTAATTTTAAAAAATTAATAAAAATTAATTTTCCACTTCGCAAGTGGAAAGAAGAAAAAACAGAATGCACCTCAACAGAATAAATACTAATATAAACATCAACACACTGATTTCTATTTCTTGTCTTCATAAAATTTTTTATAAGTAACCTGCCTTTTCATTAAACATGGTTTTCTAAGAGCATGTCTCTGTCTCTATAAACATCTTTTAAAATGGCTGGACATTCCAGTTGTTTCTGGATTTTTCTCTGTTGCAAATGTTATGATAAATATTTTCAAGATAAAGCTTTTTCTCTACTTCATATGACTAGCATAACTAAACATGAAAATAAATCAAACAGTAAGTGATTTTCACAAATTGAGAATTCTGTTAAGGTTAAAGACAGTGATATTGCCTATATTTAATCTTATTTCACCATATTAGGTTTTCAACACTATTGTTTAGTGTGTTTAGGATAGAGTATTTGGATATATTCTGTATTGTATAGTTGTTTTCCTTGACTGCAATTATCTCAGAAATAATAATTACAATATTTGTTTATAGCATTTCTTTTTTTTTTTTTTTTTTTCAGATGGAGTCTCCCACTCTCGCCCAGTCTGGAGTGCGGTAGCACCAGCTCGGCTCACTGCAAGCTCTGCCTCCCGGGTTCACGCCATTCTCCTGCCTCAGCCTCCCAAGTAACTGGGACTACAGGTGCCCACCACCACACCTGGCTAATTTTTTTGTATTTTTTTAGTAGAGACACGGTTTCACCGTGTTAGCCAGGATGGTCTTGATCTCCTGACCTTGTGATCCGCCCGCCTCGGACTCCCAAAGTGCTGGGATTACAGGCGTGAGCCACTGTGCCCAGTCTACGGCATTTCTTTCTTGATTCCTGTTCTTATTTTACTGGTTTTAAGAACAAAAATTAAGTAACTTCTCTGAAGACAGTATTTGTTTCAACAACTTTAGCTGAATTCTGAATTTGTTGTTGAATTACTATTCTAGGGATGAACTTTACATAATTTATTAACCTATATCCAGAGTCTTTACAGCAATTTACTTGACTGGAAAGATTTTCATGGGATAGTCTCAGAATAATATGAGAATGTTAAAAATTAGAAAAAGATTGTAGAGATCATGTAGTTCAACACCCTCACTTTACAGACAAGGAAGCTATACACCAAAGTGACTGTAAAGTAAAGCTCAATTATTTTATTATGAATTAGGTACTAGGGAAGAGTCTAAATACACTTACCCAGTTTGTGAATAATAGTATCTTCTTAATTTTATAATTTATTAATGTGAAAATTTATCTTGTTCCTATAGATTTATATAACAGACTTCAATTCTGTTGACTTATTCAAACCACAACATAAAAACACAGCCAATTCCTTTTCCAAAGAGTTCTAGTGAATATTTTAAGTTTTCATAGAGGTGATTTAAGTTAAATTAGTTCCAATTTTCAAAACTCATTTATTTATTTATTTGTTTGTTTGAGACAGGGTCTCACTCTGTCACCCAGGCTGGAGTACAGTGGCACGATCTTGGCTCACTGCAACACCCATCTCCTAGGCTTAAGCGATTCTCCCACCTCAGCCTCCCGAGTAGCTGGGATTACAGGAACAGGCCACCACTTCCAGCTAATTTTTTGTAGTTTTAGTAAAGATGGGGTTTTACCACGTTGGCCAGATGGATCTCGAATCCTGCCTTCAAGTGATCTTGGCATCCCAAAGTGCTGAGATTATAGGTGTGAGCCACCGCGCCTGGCCACAAAGTTCACTTTTAGCAAAAATATGAAAGTTAGTGATCTTTTTTGACATGTTTCAATCTTCCATTTATATTTTTATTTTCTGTTCTAAATATTAATTGTTGATACAGACATAAATTTAATACCTTTCAAATATATCCTTGAAAATGTATTAATTTTTCTTTTTTTTATTATACTTTAAGTTCTGGGGTACATATGCAGAATGTGCAGGTTTGTTACATAGGTATACACATGTCCTGGTGGTTTGCTGCACCCATCAACCTGTTATCTACATTAGGTATTTCTCCTAATGCTATTCCTTCCCCTAGCCCCTCCGCCCCGCAACAAGTCCCGGCCTGTGATGTTCCCCTCCCTGTGTCCAAGGAACATATTAATTTTTCTAATAGGATATTAATTGTATTATTCTTCTGTGGCTGAATAGCTAAGTGTCTTCCTTTAAGAAAAGCTTAAGTTTAATAATAGACATTAACATTTGGGTTTGTTAACAATTGTCTGTAAATACGTTAATCTAGTATTTTTGTTGCCATTGAATGTGATTTTGTGTAACTGCAGACACATTTTCCCAAGTTATTAATAGCAAAGCCATAACACATATCTTGATCTGTGATCTGAACTCTGACAAGCTATCTGATAGTGGAGATGGATAAATGACAGTACAGCTTATTCTTGAATCTTATCTTAAGGCATGTGAAGGCTGAACTTAATGACTTTAGTGCAGTCTGAACTTTAAGAAACTATTCAGGACTCTGGGCAAAAATCCAAGAAAGAGTTAAAGTAAGGAATTCGTTTTAGATAATTAGGTGGCTTGAGGCATGTAAGGTACAGTAGTCTTCCTTTATCTGTGGTTTCTCTTTGTACAGTTTCAGTTACCCTCAGTCAACCATGGTCCAAAAATACATGAAAAATTCCAGAAATAAACAACTCATAAGTTTTAAACTGTGCACTGAGTATTGTAATAAAATCTCGCATGACAGTGCTTGTGTTCAAGGAACCCTTATTTCACTTAGTGACCCCAAAGCACAAGAGGATGATGACCTACTTTTATAATTGCTCTATTTATTATTAGTTATTAAGGTTAATCTCTACTGTACCTAATTTACGAATTAAATCTTATCATAGGTAGGTATGTATATAAAAAAAACAAAACATGGCCGGGCGCAGTGGTTCACGACTGTATTCCCAGCACTTTGGAAGGCTGAGGTGGGTGCATCACGCGGTCAGGAGATCAAGACCATCCCGGCTAACACGGTGGTCTCTACTAAAAATACAAAGAATAAGCCACGTGTGGTGGTGGGCGCCTGCAGTCCCAGCTACTGGGCGGGGCGGGGACAGCAGCTGAGGCAGGAAAATGGCGCGGACCCGGGAGGCGGAGCTTGCAGTGAGCTGAGATCGCACCACTGCACTCCAGTCTGGGTGACAAAGAGCAAGCCTCTGTCTCAAAACAAAACAAAAAAAAACAAAACAATGTATATAAGGTTAGGTACTCTGTGTGTTTTCAGGTATCCACTGAGTGGGTCGGGGTATCTTAGAACAAATTCCTTGTGGATTAAGGGAGACTTCTAAAGTACAACTATTCTGATATATAGATTTCCAAGTTAGTTAAGGTTTGGTTTAAATTTCTAAGTTTTGCAGAAGGGACAGAACTCTTCACTGCAAATGTGACCTTTTCCCAAATTTTTTAAGCGTTTGATCATGAGAGATATAAATTTCATATATTATGCACTGAGAGAATAAACTGAGCCCAAGATGAACTGTGTTCATCTAATTTATAATATAGCATTATTTAGGATCTATACCATATCTCTGGCAATCAAACAGAGATTCTTTCACAATTATATTTGTAATGAATATATCAATAAATATGAATAAAACAGATATCAAAATTATTTGTTTCAGAGGGGTTAATGCATTTTTCTGCGAATTCTCTTTAACAGAGTCACATCCTATTTCCTGTTAGCAATCTTTTATTTTTTGCATCTTCTCTTCCCTTGGTAAGCACCATTGTTGTTTCAGGTGTTTTGATATCTTTCAGACATATGCTGTGATAAAATATAATTAGAGAGTCTTTGGATGCAGTTCTAACAATAATTGCTGAGAATAGCTGTCTCACTTTTAGCTTTTTTTTTTTTTTTTTTTTTTTTGAGACAGAATCTCGCTCTGTCACCCAGGCTGGAGTGCTGTGGCACAATCTTGGCTCACTGTAACCTCCACCTCCCGGATTCAAGTAATTCTCCTGCTCAGCCTCCTGAGTAGCTGGGATTACAGGCGTGCACCACCATGCCTGGCTAATTTTTGTATTTTTAGTAGAAACGGGGCTTCACTATGTTGGTCAGGCTGGTCTCAAACTCCTGACCTCATGATCCACCCGCCTTGGCCTCCCAAAGTGCTGGGATTACAGGTGTGAGCCACTGTGCCTGGCCTAGCTTTCTTAATCATTTTTGTCACCTTTAATTATGGAATTAATGCTGGTTGTGCAATAATGTCAATGTAGTGACAATCATGTGAACAAAGTCTTGCCAAGGGAGAATTTTCCCAGATCAAGTTTTTCCAGGTGTTTATATAGTGTTTGGGAATTAGGTGTAACCAGGATTATTTGCACAAGTTAGTATATGGTGGTAAATATCTCACTGTTAGTCTCATTTTTGCCAGGGTGTACACACTTTTCCCCTTTGTCTAAAAATCCTTTCTACTATACCAAATGCCTTTGTTATTTTTCCAGGATGGTTGCAGAATATTTTAAGTATGTATAGCACACAATGAAAAAGATGAGCCTGAGGTGTAGTTAACTTTTACAGATGCTAGAATTTATAATCTCCTTTTGTTTATTCACCTAAACTATGAAAACACAGGAAATTTTCCTTCATCCTAGTCTTCTAACTTCAGAGTCAGAGCTAGTGTTCATCTGAACACCTTCTAAAAAGACGCTATTAGATTTGACACTCACTACAAAAAAAAGTTTTAGTTAATCTCCATCAGCTGTTGAATAGCTGCTGAAATTTTCACCAGCAGACAATTTAAAATCTTTCCTAAGCTGTACTAATTTCTCCCACTACAAACACTTCACACTTTTGGATAGGGTGTTTAAAAGTTACCTTATTGAGTATATTGCCGCACTCTCTTTATGAAGAATTCCAGACTCTGTTAAGAGATCTGACTGATCATGGAAAACACAGCGATTTTTTTTTTCACTTCTTGTAAGATTCATTTGTTAACTTTTTCTCATTAATGATATTAGTTTGCTGCTTTTTCTCTAAATTTGAAGGACTGATATTAGAAGATGGTTATGACTGAGTTTTAGGTTTTTAGGTGGGTTCAGCTGGGAGTGATGGGGAGTATGTTACAGAAAAGTGATTTAGGATCCCACAGAATCCACACACGAGTGGATCACAATAAACTTTCCTAGAAGGAAAATCTTTAGGCAAAAGGTAATGCATAATCATGAGACATAAACATTATAAACAATCTTAACCAAATTATTACAGGTAAATGTTTATGCTTCGGTCAGGGCAATGGCTATATTCTATAGGAGGTATCAGACACAAAGAGTTGGAAATAGGTCAGAGGGATGACAATGAGGAGAAGGAAGTATTTTTTCCTCATTTTCTGGATACCAAGTGATATGGTTTGGCTCTGTGTACCCACCCAGATCTCACGTCTAACTGTAATCCCCACGTGTCAGGGGAGGGGCTTGGTGGGAAGTGACTGGATCATGGGGGCAGATTTCCCCCTTGCTGTTCTCATGGTAGTGAGTACTCATGAGGTCTGATAATGTAAAAGTGTGTGGCACTCCCCTCACACTCCTGCTGTCACGTGAGCGGGGCCTGGCTTCCCCTTCCACCATGATGCCATGATTGTTTCTGGAGGCCTGCCTCCCTAGCCATGCGAAACTATGAGTTAATTAAGCCTCTTTTCTTCTTAAATTACCCAGTCTCAGACAGTTCTTTATAGTAGTGTGAAAACAGACCAACACACATATCTTAAATTCTTCTAAAATGCTTCCCTTTTTTGTGGTTTCTGAATTCCTTTTCTCATTCTAAATTCAATGTTTAAAAGACTCAGTTTAGTACTTTCTTTCTGTGCTGTGAATCACAACAGCTGAGGCAGAGAATTCTGACTACTCACTAGACAAGGGTCATATAGGGGGTGATGAGAAGGAGGTATACCTGGCCTGCAGTATACCGCAAATTTTGTTTCCTACTTTCTACCCTAATCTAGTTAGGACTACTTTCTCTGGCTATGAGCTATAAGGCAAAACAAAAAAACAAAAAACAAAAGCAAACAAACAAAAAAAACAAAACCAACAACAATGAAACAGTTTTGGGTGAAATTTGCTCTCTGAGTTAAAAACTAAACTTCAAGAGCAAAATAAGTACTTAATGGTGTAGTACTAAGCTGCCAAGTGTTTCTCTCCATATTTTTGACATTGCTCATCTTAGAGAAGTATCTTTGTAAGTAAGTAGTCTGAGGCAAAAAGAAAGAAAGAAAAAAGGTAAAGACACCTAGGAACTTGGAAAACCAGAGAAGCTGAATTTGGAAATGAGAAAAACCTAAAAATCAAAGGAAAGACTGGATCAGGACCTAGAATATAAAAAAGAATATTCTGGTAAACATTCATAGTATGATCGCTCACTTGCTACAACTGTAATAGCTGATAAGAATTTATCCTGTTTCTCTCTCTTTATACGACTATACACAATAACTTACATCCTTTAAGTGAATATTATCAAGGTCACAGTTGCTGTGTACTGTTTCAACCAACCAGCCTTCTGGAGTAATCATGTTGAGGGTTAGGAGGGGTGATTCAGGAATATCCAAAAATTTTGCCACTGGTCCCAGAGAAGAAACGTCATTAGCCCCTGACATCAGTTCTGGTTCCAGAACAAAACGGTAAAAGCTGTTAATAAAACATAAAAATACATAATGTGACCAAAACTGAGATTTTTCTTCTAAAATATTTTTAAAATTGAAAATGGCTTAATGATCTGACCAGAAGTCTACAAACAAAAAGACTAAAACACACTATACTGCAGAAGAGTTAATGCTTATAATAGACAATCATTATTTTGTTGACACTACTATCTAAGTCTATGAATATTGTCTACCATTGTTAACTATTCCTTAATGAACATGATTAGAATCCCTTTAAGATATACCTGACTTATGCAGGTTCTAGTAGTTTATGATCTGTTATTGTATTACGATTTGTATGCATCCTCCTTCAAATCTGACCATGGTCTATTTTTCAGCTATTTTATTAACTTTTACCACCACTAATAATATGAAGAGAAATGATAGGAAACAAGTGAAATTCAAGCTGAAATTCTAGCTCCACTTTTAAAAGCTCAACTAAAAACAGGATTAAGTTGAAAGCAACTGCTTAATAGCACTTTTAGACTTAACTTCACTTTTGCTGTATTTTAACCTCATCCTTCAATATTGTGCACAAGAATTATTATGTTACGCTATCAAGGCTAGTGGCTTTTACTATTTTGAGACTGCAGTCAAGGTGTCAGCTGTGCTGTAGTTCTCTCAAGGCTCAACAAGGGTAGGATCTACTTCCAGGTTCATCTAGTTCCTCAAGGGTTGTCTGAATGAGGACCGCAGTTCCTTGCTGGTAGTTGTCTGCAGACTTCTCGCAGTTACTTCCCAAAAAGGCATCTCCAACATGCTTCAAAAGAGAAGCACACAGAAGAGCCACAGAGAGAGAATGTCAGCAAGACAAAAGTTACAGTCTTTCATGACCTAATTGCAGAAGGGAAATTCCATCACTTTCACAATATTTTGTTTTATGAGAGCCAAATCACTAGGTCCAGCCCTCGCTCCAGGAGAACTTACAGTGTGAGTCCCAGGCAGTGGTGATCACTGGGAGCCATGTTATGCAGATAGACAAAGAAAATAAAAAGAGGAGAAACAGGAGAGAATACAGTCATGAAGTAAATGTACAAAACAAATTCTTGCTGCAGTGGAAATATCAAAGAAAAAGTATTCTGTGAATGTTGTAACAATTTCTTTGTGACTTAGTAAATACAATTTCAGTGGCAAAGAGGAAGTTAAAGAGGAACTGCAGTGGAAGGTACAGTGAATGAGACATGAAGACAGAATCTGACCATTCTTTGAAGAAATTTAGATAAGAAGGAATGAAGAAGAGGGAAAAAAAGGACTCTAGAGGAGAGAAAGTTAAGGGAGCAACTTTTTAAAAAATTGAATAACTGTAAGAACTGAAAGAAAAAAGCTAGTATAGAGACTAAAGATCCAAAAGAGAGAATATGTGATATAGCAAGGATCCAGAACAAACAGGAAAGCATGAGATCAAAACAGAGAGGGAATGGTTACCTAAAAAAGAAGAAAGATGCCTCATTCTTTTCCTACAATACAGGAAGGCTGAGGAAGTATAGCAGTTAAGAGTAAGGAGTTGAGGGGATTCCTGCCCTTAACCTGTCTCATCTCTGAGAAGAATAAATTTACTAAAAGGAAAGGACTGGGAATAAATGTGTACGCTAGATTGCTTGATATATGCTACTGAGTTAATAAGATTCTGTTGAACTGCTAGTTAAAAAAATAACTGTTTACTCCAGTACATTATTTCATCTAGAAAAGTCAATTCTTTCCCTCCCAGTAGATTATGCTTGCTTATATGTTCAATAATCCTATTCTTTATTATATAATGTGATGTTTTACAGAGAGGATCCCTACTCCTGTGAATAAAAATTCTGTACTCATGGAACTAACAAACCTTTCAATTAGTAGCTAAAAAGTTTAAAGTTTTTGTTCAGATGTAAAAAGCCATGCCATAAAATTTAAAATACAAAAGACACATGAGAAGCATAAAAACTGAATGAGATATATGGACAAGAGTCTTGAGGGACAATGAATAAGTCCTAAACTTTCACTTAAATTTCCCACATTTTCCAGTTTATTGCTTTCCAACTATTAAAAATACTTAGGTTTAAAATGTCTGCTCTGGCTGGGCACAGTGGCTCATGCCTATAATGCCAGCATTTTGAGAGGACAAGGCAGGTGTATCTCTTGAGTCCAGGAGTTCAAGACCAGCCTGGAGAACATGGCAAGACCCCGTCTCTACAAAAATACAAAAACAAAAATCAAAAAACCACAAAACTGTGCGTGGTGGCATACACCTGTTGTCCCAGTTACTCAGGAGGCTGAGGTGGGAGAATCACCTGAGCCTGAGAAGTCGAGGCTGCAGTGAGCTGTGATGGTGCCCCAGCCCGGGCAATGGGAGTGAAAACCAGTCTCCAAAAAAAAAAAAAAAAAAAAAAATTTCTGCTCAAGGCAACAATCTACAGTATGTCAGTTGTAACAAATACAATTTGAAAAGTAAACAAGGAATGAACAGAATGCTACCTTTCTATCTTGTATGTGTATGCATACTTTTTTTAGAATTACATAATTAAATACTACAGAGATGAGCACATTAATAAGTCTTAAAAAGCTACACTAGTGCAATGGTACATACCCTGTTTTCTGCCCAATGACACATGAAGGAGAATTGAATATTCCTATCAATAAGAATGGCTCGCAATGACAGTGATTATGATCCAAAAAGAAGAGAATGGGTATATTTTTGTCCCCTCTTGAGAGAGAATGTTATTTCAACACAGGGGTGTTAATGAGGAATATTTGTATATAATTATAAACAATGTTTTTTTATATCTCTGGCAGGTTATTCTAAACTAATTGTATCCTAATACCCCCAAATAGTAAATGTGATGATATAACCAAATAGTAAATGTGATGATATAATAAAGATCATTTTGGTAATTATGATAAACCAAAAATGGTTTAATTCCACCTTATTTCCCATTGATATAT